TATATATATATGTGTTTGTATGGATATAGGTGGATATGTATGTATATATATATATATTTGTGTGTTTATATGGATATAGGTGGATATGTATATATATATATATATATTTGTGTGTTTTGTATGGATATAGGTGGATGTGTATATATATATATGTATTTCGTGTGTTTGTATGGATATAGGTGGATATGTATATATATATATGTATTTCGTGTGTTTGTATGGATATAGGTGGATATGTATATATATATATGTATTTCGTGTGTTTGTATGGATATAGGTGGATATGTATATATATATATATATATATATATATATGTGTGTGTTTGTATGGATATAGGTGGATATATATATATATATATATATATGTGTGTGTTTGTATGGATATAGGTGGATATGTATATATATATATATATATGTATATAATGTTTGTATGGATATAGGTGGATATGTGTATATATATATATATATTTGTGTGTTTGTATGGATATGGGTGGATATATATGTATATATATATGTATTTCGTGTATTTGTATGGATATGGATGGATATATATATATATGTATTTGTGTGTGTTTGTATGGATATAGGTGGATATGTATATATATATATATATTTCGTGTGTTGGATATGGATGTGGATATATATATATATATATATGTATTTTCGTGTTTTTATATGGATATATGGTATATATGTATGTGTGTATATATGGATATATATATATGTATATGTGTGTGTGTGTTTTTGTAGGTGGATATAGGTGGATGTATATATATATATGTGTGTGTTTGTATGGATATAGGTGGATGTGTATATATATATGTGTTTGTATGGATATATATGGGTGGATATGTATATATGTATGTGTGGATTTGTATGGATATAGGTATATATGTATATATATGTATGTGTGTGTTTGTATGGATATGGGGTGGATATGTATATATATATATGTGTGTTTGTATGGATATAGGTGGATATGTATATATATGTGTGTGTGTTTGTATGGATATATATATATATATATGTGTATATGTATGTGTGTTTGTATGGATATAGGGTGGATATATATGTATGTGTGTGTTTGTATGGATAGGTGGATATGTATATATGTATGTGTGTGTTTTTATGGATATGGGGTGGATATGTATATATGTATGTGTGTGTTTGTATGGATATAGGTGGATATGTATATATATATGTGTGTGTTTGTATGGATATAGGTGGATATATATATATGTATGTGTGTGTTTATATGGATATATGGTGGATATGTATATATGTATGTGTGTGTTGTATGGATATAGGTGGATGTATATATATATATATATGTTTGTTTATGGATATATATATATATGTATGTGTGTGTTTGTATGGATATAGGTGGATATGTATATATATATGTGTATGTATGGATATAGGTGTGGATGTGTGTATATATGTATGGTGTGTTTGGATTGATATAGGTATATGTATATGTATATGTGTGTTTGTATGGATATGGGTGGATATATATATATGTATATGTGTGTGTTTGTATGGATATAGGTGGATATGTATATATATATATATATGTGTGTGTTTGTATGGATATAGGTGGATATGTATATATGTATGTGTGTGTTTGTATGGATATATGGATATGTGTATATGTATGTGTGTTTGTATATATATGATATATATATATGTGTGTGTTTGTATGGATATAGGTGGATATGTATATATGTATGTGTGTGTTTGTATGGATATAGGTGGATATGTATATATGTATGTGTGTGTTTGTATGGATATAGGTGGATATGTATATATGTATGTGTGTGTTTGTATGGATATAGGTGGATATGTATATATGTATGTATGTGTGTTTGTATGGATATAGGTGGATATATATATATGTATGTGTGTGTTTGTATGGATATAGTGGATATATATATATGTATGTGTGTGTGTATGGATATAGGTGGATATGTATATATGTATGTGTGTGTTTGTATGGATATAGGTGGATATATATATATGTGTGTTTGTGTGATTTGTGATATGGATATATATATGGATATGTATATATGTATATGTATATTTGTGTGGATATAGGTGGATATGGATATGTGTGTGTTTGTATGGATATAGGTGGATATGTATATATGTATGTGTGTGTTTGTATGGATATAGGTGGATGTGTATATATGTGTATGTGTGTGTTTGTATGGATATAGGTGGATATGTATATATGTATGTGTGTGTTTTGTATGGATATAGGTGGATATATATATATATATGTGTGTATTTGTATGGATATATATGGATATGTATGTATATATATATATGTGTGTGTGTTTATGGATATAGGTGGATATGTATATATATATGTGTGTGTGTGTGTTTATGGATATAGGTGGATATATATATATATGTGTGTTTGTATGGATATAGGTGGATATGTATATATATATATATATATATATATATATGTGTGTGTTTGTATGGATATATATATATATATATATATATATATATGTGTGTGTGTTTGTATGGATATATAGGATATGGATATATATATATATATATGTGTGTGTGTTTGTATGGATATAGGTGGATATGTATATATATATATATGTGTGTGTGTGTGTTTGTATGGATATAGGTGGATGTATATATATATATGTGTGTTTGTATGGATATGGGGTGGATATATATATATATATATATATATATATGTGTGTTTGTATGGATATAGGTGGATATGTATATATATATATATATATGTGTGTTTGTATGGATATAGGTGGATATGATATATATATATATATATATATATGTGTTTGTATGGATATAGGTGGATATGTATATATATATATATATGTGTGTTTGTATGGATATATGTGGATATGTATATATATATATATATATATATATATGTGTGTTTGTATGGATATAGGTGGATATGTATATATATATATATGTGTGTTTGTATGGATATAGGTGGATATGTATATATATATATATATATATATATGTGTTTGTATGGATATAGGTGGATATATATATATATATATATATGTGTTTGTATGGATATAGGTGGATATATATATATATATATGTGTTTGTATGGATATAGGTGGATATATATATATATATATATATGTGTGTGTTTTTATGGATATAGGTGGATATGTATATATATATATATATGTGTGTGTATGGATATAGGTGGATGTGTATATGTGTGTGTGTGTGTGTGGATATAGGTGGATATATATATATATATATATATATATATATATATATATATATATATATGTGTATATATATGGATATAGGTGGATATATATATATATATATATATATATATATATATATATATATATATATATATATATATATATATGTGTTTATGGATATATATATATATATATATATATATATATATATATATATATATATATATATATATATATGTGTGTTTGTATGGATATAGGTGGATATGTATGTATGTATGTATGTATATATATATGTGTTTGTGTGTATATGGATATATGTTGTTGTAATTATTTGTCTGTTATATGCGTAGTACTTATTAGAAAGCGCTCAGTACCAGAGATAGAGCTAACATGTTGAACCAGATGTATGTGTATATGTGTGTATATATATGTCTGTGTATGTATGTGTATATATTTGTGTGGATATGTGTGTACATGGGTATATGTATATGTGTATACGCTTATGTGTATATGTTATTCTGTATGTGTGTATTCGCATGCGTTTTAGAACATAAAAATATAGGTCCTTGCTAGATTAGATAATCGTTATATTTATTTTTTATATGTTTATATTTGATTTGTAACCTGTAGTTGATATTGAATTTGTCAAATTTTCTCAATTACACAAGCGGCCCTTTCAGTAAATGTCCTTCAATTTTAGTTTCCCCCCGCCCCATCTCTCTCCCCCACCTCGTCTTTCCTTTCCTCTCCCTCCCTCTTATTCTGATCTTTAACATTAGATCGTCTATGGTGTTTGTATGTCACCATGAAATGTATCTCTTTGTATTAGACATCCGATAACATTCATATTTCTCTTACTTAAATCCCTTCCACTCACCTCTTCTAAAATTCTCTCTGTTAAGGTTTAATCTCCCTCCTTCTCTCGTCTGTTACCCCTCTCTTTAGCTCTAACATTCATCCCACACTGATACTTACACTCTCTCTAAATTCTGTTTTTATTTCTGGAGTTGTTTTTTCTGTTTTCTTTTTGAATTTGTAGGTCTGATGAATTGGATCGTATTTACGATTCCAATGGAATAAATTATGACCATGGAATATTAGTGTTTAAGCCTTTTTTATTATATCTTTACTCTGTCCTGGACATTGAGTTCTACCTGGATTCTATCCTCTTGGAATTTTTATTCAAATATATACATGTATGTGTATGCACCTATGTATATATTTATATATTTTGCATATGTATGTGTATATTTACCACTAATATTATCACAGTACTTATTCTCCCTCTCACCACCAAACATGATCAAACACAAACAAGCATAAAATAGATCCAATTTTGAAAAATAAACCAGTTTGTCTGATCACAAAGGCCTGAAACCCAGAGTCACATATATCCATACAACTGTGTGTGTGTGTATATATATATATATATATATATATATATATATATATATATATATATATATATATATATATATATAATTAGTCTTGTGTGTGTTCTGTTGCAAATTGTTGAATATAGTAAAATCATCTGACTCGTTATTTTTCAATCAAAGATGTATAAAAGCACTATTGCCTTTTACCTGAACTCCTACTAAACTAACAGTTCTTGTAAAATTAATAATAATTATAAAGTAGATATTTCTGAAAATAAATTTCAGTGATCAAAACATGAAAACCTTTATAAGGTTTTTAGCAACTTTTGAAACTTTCACATTTATTTTAAAATGGCATTGATTTTGTTTGCAAAAACATGATGCAATTTGATTACTTTTGCAGACCCCCTACTTTGTGTTGGAGTTACCATTCCAGAACTGTATATACAATAGAATGGGGCAAAACAACTTATGCAGAAGGTGAGATTATTTTATTCTTTCAAGAATTTGGTCAGATACTGTCTTCACCATTAATCTGATGATTCTTTCACTTTAAATATAAGGACTTTTATTCTCGATTCCCATGAATGCTTGGAGGAGTTACAATCTTCAAAAAACAGAATTACAACACTAGTTGACAATATTGGTTACAGTTTATGGAATGTTTTAAATAACTTTATACTTTAAAATCTACTTTATTGCAAAGACACAATCTTTGACTGTGCATGAATATTTAATTTTTTTTTTTTTTTTTTTTTTTGCTACAAAAAAATAATAAAGCAAGGCCTTACTAATTGTCTTGGAAGTTTTAAGAATTGAAAAAATTTACTTATTTGAGTATCAGAACTTTTACAAGTATAACACTGTTTGAATGCTGAGAGCATTTTGTATGTAAGACTTGTCCAGTATTTTCAATAGATGAACATACTCTCTTCGCAGAATTAGGTGTAACTTTAGGAAGTAACTCTGTTTATTGAGCAAAGTATTTGTCTTGTGAGTGCAGGTTACTTAATTTGAAGAATGATGATGATTACATTTTGCAGTGTTGTTGTTATGTCCTGCTATGATAACAGAAAATAATCTTGACTGAAATTAACAGTAAGACTACTGTAGTTGAAGATCATCTGAAAAAGAATGCAGTAGATTAATGTTTGCTAATGCAGGTTGCTGGTTTAAAATCAACAACTTTCTAATTTAGTCCTATTCATAATGTTTTTTTTTTTTTTTTTTTTTTTTTGATTTTAGGTAATGGGCTTAGTTTTCAAAGTACAAAGTAACCAAAAAAATGTCTCTGTTGTTTTTGATTTATTAGGAGAAAAAAAAGTATCTCATTAGTGTTCAAAGTAATCCACATCCAGTACGTTTTGCCAATGTACTTTCAGCTGTGCAATGCCCTGGCAGTAAAAATCTGGTGTCTTGGATACAAAGAAGTCTGAGTGTCTGCTGTAAGCCTGCCTCATTTTCCAAGTTGCCATATGGTATTCCTGGCCACCCACACCACGAGGCCTGGCATTGTCATGAAGGAACAGTGATTAACCCATGCTGGCTCCTTCTGTTTCAGTGCCTGTTGCACATGTGCAAACTGCTATAAATACATGTCTGCAGTTAGGGTTTTTGGCCCATTGGTAGCAGCTCATTGTGTACCACTTGTAGATTAGTACACCAGATACAGAGCATGATCTTGCATGAATGTAGAGGTGGTTTTGTGGTGTGAGGCATAGGGTACCATGGTGACAACCAATGTCTGGCACATTTGGGAGTGTCATACAGGACCCACTTTTTGTAACTGGTGAGCACTTGATGAAATATGGGTATGTTGGAGTGCCAAGAGAAGTACTGCGAAACATGTGGTGGCAAGAAAGCAATGAAAAATATGCTGTCACTCTTTGCTTGTTGGCTTCTGACAATATCTGGGCTACCCATTTGCTCAGCTTGTAAGCACCTTCCCTATGTGAAGGTGAAGTCTGATTGTTTCATCAGAAACTTGGAAGTGTTCAGCAAGCTTACCACAGGTTTGGTTGTTGTACACCCTCTATGACTGCCTTTAGAGCCTCATCATTCAGGACTTGTGGGTGAAGTTCTGGAACCAATGTCTGGCAGTGTGTTCACTCACAAAATTATCCCCAAAGGCTTGACATATTCAGCGACTTGATGCAGCTGTTGATAAGCTCACAATAAAGTTAAAAAGCAGACAAACCTGAACATGCTGCTTCAACATTGCCAGGTTTCCGGCCGACTGTTCAAGTTATGACTTGTGTGTGTGTGTGTGCACCTTCCCGACACATGACACAATCATTTGTATATCAGTAATCACTTCTTCGCACATGACGTAAAAAATGGCAAGGTCCTTTTTTCGGTTACCTTATAGAATAATGCACTATGAGATTTTTGCTTTCTTTTATTTATCCTTTTTATTGACATTTTCTTTTTGGGCAATAACTCAGTTTTTAAAACATTACAAAATAATTTTATTTATTTATTTATTTTTTTTTTAACAACTAATTCAAAAAAGTCATCAAGTATTCTGAAGTCATAGTTTTAATTTGAGTATATTTTTTGCCAGAGGATGTATTTTGGAAAAAAACAAATGTTCTCTTTCCAGATTCAGAAACTGAGAATCTTCCTGTATATTCTTTGTACAGTCAAGGAGATGGCATGATTCTTCAGCACAATCTCAATGAAAAGGAAAGACCAGCTGAGAACATCAATTCCATTATTTTAAATACAAATGGAAAGGTAACATTTTGAAACTGTTTCTTTCATCACATAATAAAAGATCGTTATTGATAAAATTTGGGAATTGGAAAAAATATGGTCATGGAATTGTGAACAAATTAACATTGAATTATTATAATATTCAAAATTTATTGAAAATTCTTGATTTGATTTTAATCCTTTATGTATATACAAAGGAATGTTATATATTTATGTTCAATAAATCTCTCTTACTGACTCCAGAGATTTGCATAACATCACTTATCAGGGTCAGATGGTCTGATAAATCTATTGAATTATCAGCATAGTCTGTTAAGAATGTGACATTTAAATATTTAGGAGCAATTAAAATATTTTTTTTCTTTAGCAAACTCACCAACAATCACAGTTTGAAAAATAGGAACCTTTAAACCCTTATAGTATTCAAACTTACTGATTATTTATTTTAGATTACATAATTAATTATATATTCAGTTTATTTTAATTAATTACTTTATATTATTGACTCTCAGCAAATATCCAGTCTATTTTATACTTAAATTCTTTCTATATATAATTATCCTATATTTATAATTTTATAAAAGTATTTATGTAGAATAACCACACAGTAAAATTTTAATATCTAATCCTTTGAAAATATCATTGTTTGTAATGTTTGCATAGTTAATTCCTACAAATATTTTCAAACAAGATTCATAACTATGAAATTATAGAAATAAAAAACAGTATAATTACAGATTCAAATGTAGCCTTTAAAAATTTAAGCATTATTATGTGTTTAACAGAATAAATTTAAATTTTTCAATTAGCATTAAAAAAGTAGGATAAAATAAAAATAAAGTGAATATAATATATATAAAATAATTAACATAAAGTGAATAATCAGTATATTTATATTGCAATAAATATATTTGTTGATAATATTTACTGGGTTTATCTTAATATGGTTTTTCTACATAAATATTTTTATAAAATTATAAATATAGGATAATTAAATATAGTAACCATTTATAAATAATTGGTAAATTTGAATATTACAATGGTTTAAATGTTTCTATTTTCTGAATTATGTGATCATTGTGGAGTTTTTTTTTTTTTTTTTTTTTTGTTGTAACATTTTCTGGTATTTGATACCAAACCTGACTGAATTGCCGAGGAATTTGCATTCTCAACCTATTCTGTATAATTTGAATAATCTGTAATGATCATGATAATAATCTGAATGACAACAATATGATTTTCATAACTACTGATCTTGGTAGCTTTTATTAACGCTATTTTCTAAGTTTAGTTTAACCAACAAGTATGAGGTATTTGAAGATTAAAATCACTAAAGTACTAATGATCTCTGAAATTAGACTAATAATCATGTATAGAAGTTCTCAACTTTGATTATAGATATTATATCTGTTATCTTATAGCTAATATTATGTAATATTAATATTTTATGTCAAGTGACTTTTGTTTTTCTCTACCATTAATGTGTTCATATTAATATTTTCAGAAAGAGTATGGTGCTTTTCCAAATCGAACAGACATCAGATGGAAACCAGATTTTTCTTTGGTGGCTATTGGCAATGATGATGGGTAAGTGGTGCATTTGGTGTTATGCATTTTGTTCAATGATTTATAAATAAATGTTGCCTTCAGATGTCTTTGTCAAATTACTTATAGAATTTGTAAATGCTAATTATCACTAAACTTAATTATCATTATTAAGACAGTATCACTGGTATACTACCATGGCAATGCAGTTTTCAGAACTTTAATTACAGATGTTGGTTACATGACATAAAATATAGATATATTTATAAGATATTTATATAAGCTATTACATAAATTATTGGAATTAACTGAATTTTGTTTTTCATATTTTTCTTTTTTCTATCAGAACTGTGGAGATTTTCTCATCACCTCATTTGAAGTATCTGTGTTCAGTAAATATATTTAGTAAAATAATCAACTGCATCTGTTGGCATCCACTGTACACGACTGGTTCTGACAAGATTTCCTCTTGTTCTAATTGGCTGGCTCTTGGTTCCAATGATGCTTTTGTTCCAGTCATTGATATAACTCTGCCCAACAAAGGTAATCAATTTTTCATTTCTGCCTTGCTCTTAATTTCATATGTCCTGACCATGACTCTGTGTTGTGTACATCTAAATTCTTTGAGAATGCCCAAAAGCATTTTTCCCTGACTTTGGCTACTGTTATGAAGGCATCACAGATTTTATTTCAAGATTCTCAAATATCTTTCAGTAAACAAGTTCTTAGGATATATCAATTTTATTACAGTGTGTATGCTCATGATTTCAAATAAACTTAACAATGCAAGTGAGTGTTTAATGCACTTTGGTTAAGAAGAATTGTAAAAAAGTTTTTATTATATAACATTCTTGGGTCCTGACTGAGTTAACAAGATCCTTGAAATTTTTAAGAAAACACTTATTCAAACTTTTATTTGAAGAAAAACTAAGGAAATGAATAATGTCCATTATGCCCTTCTATATCTTAGCTGGATAAGATAGGTGTGATTATATATTCTATAAAATTGGTATCTGTGCTTATTTTGATTCTAAAAATTGTCATATCAGCAGAAATTAAGAAAAAAAATACTGGTTGATATCCAAGAATTCCAGGAATCAGCAAATACACAGGAGAGGCCAAAGAACTAATCAAAAAAGGATGAAGAAGATTTGTGGGGTAATATTCTAATGAATTGGATCAAAATACTTCCTTCTGTGTATGGCTTTCAGAGCTTGGCTGATTTTTCCTTTCATCATCATCATCAATCCTATAATTAGATGTTTTTTGCAGAGTTGTTGTGCAGCTGAGCATCTGACCAGCCCCCTTCCCTTGAAAGGTATTTATTCATGTGTAGCATATCTTGAGCAAAGCCAACCTGGAGGAGCCCATCCCTCTCCAGTTTGGACCACAATTGATGTCTCCACATTTGAAGGCTTGTTTAGGTCATGGGCACATGGACATTGAAACTTCTGCCTGTTGATCTCCATCAAAGAAGCCACCTGCTCATTGATGCCATGTCATCACTTCCATGGCTATAATGCCAGTAGTTCAGTCCCATGTGTAGATTTAGCCTGCAACCAATTGAAACTTGCTACCAACTCTGTTGATCTCACCACTGGGTGAGAGCCTTGGAACCACTACACATGGAGTTGATTTTATAATTCAGTGCTAGAGACAATATTCTAAGAGTTTTTATGTTTTTTCTTTGCTGATGTCAGTAAAATCGAGCTAGTGGCAAGGCTTTGAGACATCATGGATATTTCCTATGTCACACCCTTGCATTATATAATGAAAGAATGGAGGAAGAACAGTGTAATTTGGATATGATAGAGCTGAGATTGAAGGTGGTTTTCATAGAAGGTGCAATGAATAAATTGTCATCTAAATAACACAAAAATGAAAATAACACTGACATCTCATTTTAACTGATATATTTACCAAAATTACACAAAAATATCTTTAAATTCTAAAGAGTAAATTTATTCAATAAAATCACCATTGGCTTCAGCCACTGCCTCCAGATGACTTTGGAATCTCCTGCAACTCCTCTGGACGGTTTCCTTGTCTAAGATGGTGAATGTTGCCATAATCTTTGCTTTCAGTTCATCTTTGGTGTTACAAGGAGTTTTGTTGGTCTCTCACACAACTGTGCCCCACATGTAATAATAAGGGGGGTTGGCCAGATGTAAGGTGTGATATGGTCTCAGAAATTGTCTAACAGCCATGACTGGGTTCACCTGCTTGCATAGCATGGGGCAGAGTCCTGCTGCCAGACATAGTCTTCCAGCAGCCACCCTCTTGAACCAGGGCAGCACTACCTACTCAAGGTACTTGATGTAGGTCTCTCTCTGAGGCCCTGTGGGAAGATGAATGCAGTTATAACATTGCCATCACTAGTGATCACTCCAAACACCATTATGTTGACTAAATATATTGTCCAACTCTTTCTAAATCCTCTGCACTGTCCTCCAAACACTCTGAAACGTTCATATTGGAGCTTCTGGCATGAGTGGCAAGCAGGGCAGCATGCCATTTCCAAATTTCTGGAAGTGAATTGCATCCTGGTGCTCTTTTTCTCCAACTGAGCCTAATATATTGTGCAGTCAACAAAATAAAAAAACAAACAATGCACATGCGCAAAATTAAAAATATAAAATGGCAACAATTTACTTATTGCATCCTGTATTTGTTGCATATACCAAATTGAACAAAGTGTTGTGGTCAGGTGAATCGATCGATGTGTGTACCAACAGTATTGGGAGGATTTAATGGAAGGGGCCTTGCAAGGATTGTGAAAATGGTCTTCTAAATTGCATCTGCAACAACTGCCTGGTGATGGATGAACTGATAACTCATACCAGAGCAGAAAGAGCACATGCAAGGGACAGCAATTGCTGTAGGGAGAAGCAGTGGGAAGCCTCAAGTTGCATAAGAGGAGATGAAAGTTGGTGATATATGAAGTTGTGATATTTCAGATGACAGTCTCCATATGGTGAAAAACTAGAAAGGAGAGGTCTGATACTACTTATTACTGTTGTGGTCAAGTGGGCCACATAAGATACTGTTCACAGGGGAACTACAAATAAGGTAACTTCCACTTCACCCAATAGAGGCTCCCATAACTGCATTGCAACAGATAGAGTTGACCATAAATTGTCAAAGTGCAAAGGCCCTTTTAACACTGGATGTACCTCAATACTGGTCACCAAAAAAATGGTTGATACATGGCGTGGGACTAGCAGCATTAAACTGATTGATGAAAGAGAGTTGTTGTGCAACTGGCAGTACATGGAACACAGCAATCCAGGTGATTGTACTTGACTGGATTGTTGCAGGTGTCAATATGATGTTAGGCATGGATGCCATTAATCAACAGGGGTGAAGTGGGGGGGGTGTTACAGTAAATGTGGATACTGTAGAGTTTGGAAAACAATGCTGTGCTACAAACCTGTGGGTGGAGAAGGGTAGCAGTGTGGCAGCAAATACTTTTATGGAGGAAAAATGTATAATTGAGGAAAAGGGCTTCCATGTTACCTTTGATGTAACCAGTCATTGCAAGAAGAGGCAAAAGTAATTCGAAAAGGAGGCCGAGTTCTGAATTGAAGGAATTCTGATGCCTTGGATAAGGAAAGAAGGTGTACTACAATTGGTGGCAGTAGTTCAGCCTACAAAGAAAAAAAGTCCAACAGGTGCTAGATTACCAGTAATTAAATACATAGATAGTGCCTCGCACAGGAGGTGATACAGTGGATGTGTATGAGGAGACCATGTGTAAATGGAAGCAAAGGTAAAGAACTTCAACAACTGTTGACCTAAAATTTACCTATCTTCCAAGAAGTTGTGAAGGTACCAATTGTTTAAATAAAAAGGCCAAATATACTGCCTAACCAAACAGATTTGGTCTGAAATCTGCACCAAAAATTATGTTGACACTCCTTAAAACAATTCTTAGCAAGGATGAAATTGTGAAAAAGTCAACTGGCTCATACACTGACAACATTCTGATGGATGAAATCACTCCTACAGAAGAAGAGTGATAAGCCACCTTAACAAATTTGGGCTGGCATTAAAACAGCTGAAGCTATTAGGTGAGACAGCGTTAAGGCTCTAATTGACGGAAGATAGAACAGGAAAATTGATATTTTGGAGAGGAAATTTCTGATGTTAAAGATGAGCTGCAAAGAAGGGAATTGTTTTCAATATATAGGAAGTTAATTGGTCACTAGTCTTGCTGAATGGCTACCATCTATATGTAGCTACATTGAGAGGTAAGCTGGTGGAATGAGTTGGGAAGACAGGGTCAGCAGAAAAAGTGTTAACATGATAAGGAGCTTGTTGTGAAGGAACGGAACCTAGTGAGAGGTAGTTGGCATGTACCAAAATGTGCAAAAGGAGTGGTATGGTGTGATGACAGTAGTATAGCATTGGGTTTGGTCTTGCAGGAGAAGATGCTTGGCAACAAAAGAAAGATGTTGTTGCCCATCTCAATGTGGCTTAACTGGAAGCTGTTATAAAAGGTATCAGTTTGTCCTTGAAGTGAGGATTACAAGAGATTGAGGTGAAGACTGTCACTATGGCTTTTTGAATCAAATCTGAACTCTCAGAAGAGAAGAGAATGCAAATAAAAGGAGCTGCAGAAAACGCTTGTAAGGTGCTGGTTAGGGATGCTTTTCAACTAAGGATCTGTATTTTGATATTAAAGATGAATAGGGCAGATATAACTACAAGGGTGGGGCAAAAATGATTCAAGATGTATGAGGAGCCTATAAATACAATGGATGCTGTATATAGCCCAGGAAATTAGGAGTTAAAAACAACTGCTTGATATGCACCCTTTTGGAGTGGACAGAACCCTATTACTGGCTAGGAAAGTGGATCCCCATGCTACTCGAGATGCTGTCAAGTACATGGTAGAAAGATGTTAGACAGAAGATCCAGCTCCAAGTAGTCATGAAACTGGTAATATTCATGTGGAAAGCCTGTTGACATAACCCATTATTGACAGAAATAGTACTTTACTATGATTCACTGTGGACCTGGATAAGTAGCTGCTTGGCAGAAAGTTTCTTTAGAAAATGCAACTGAAATATCAAAGGGGCTGGAGGAGATATTTCTCGAAAGAGGGCTGGTAAATGAAATGCTAATGAACAACAGTATCACATTTTGTCCAGTTTTCTTTTGTCTTTTGCCTAGAGAACATTTGTCACTAAACTTTAACCCAACTCAGGATTTTTGCTAGTTGGACAATTGTTGAAAAGTCAAGTGGATAGTGGAAGAGAAGACTATGAAATTGAAACAAGCAAAGACTATAAGAACAAAGATTACTATTTAATTTAAGCTACAAGAACTAAATGTGATGTCCCTAGACATGGTCAGTGGAATGAGAACATATGTTAATTAAAAGGTTCAGATTGAAATTCCCTGTTGGTTACCTGGATTGACATCGACCTGACAAAGACTGAAGGCACAATAGCCAAAATGTGATAACAACAAAAATGAAGATAATAGTCTACATAATATAAAGATTGTGTTTTACTTTATTTGCTTTGTGCTTTATTTGG